ATAGGATATCGCTATAAAAATGAAGACTTCTCCTACGCAAAACACCAATGGCACCCCTTGAGAAAGACTAGAGTAACAGAATGGGATGTGTGGGGAGGAGCGGGAAATGGATAGAGATGACAGCGGAGGACAGGGCCCAGCATCGAGCACTAACTGGGATAACTGCGATTTCCTGGAAGTGGATTCATAGGAGGGATGCTGAGATCCCCTTTGATGGCAGTAGTGTTATCCTCACAGGTTAGGGATGACCGTGACTGCCCTAGCCTGATCAAAATGACAGTGTGACTAAATTGCCCTTCTGGGGACCCTGGTATAGACTCTGGGCCTATAGCTTTGCCAGCTGCCTCCAGAGAAGGGTAGAATCCTGAGGTTGCTTCCTTCTTTACCTTTGAGGTCTGCTTTTATGTATCCTGCATTGCTCTGAGAGCAACCTGAAGGCAAGAGCTGCATTTCCTGCCTTTGATTCTGAACTCCTAAAGAAGGGAAAACGGCTCTTCTGTTGAATTGGGAGTTTCCTGAAAGTGGAGCTAAGTCTCCTTTTTTTTCTTTCATTCTTTTCAGTCACCAAGAAAAAACCATGCCTGCTAATTAACATACCTGAGAGGAAAATGACACCACATGGCTAATCTTCACTGGAGCCATGGTGGGCCCAGCAGCTGTCCCAAGCACAAGGCAAAATGCTTTCTCCTGAGATCTCTTCTGTCACCACTTTGATGCCTATATTTTGGTCCCATCAGCTTCCAGAAGAGAAGGAATCGTCATGTTACTCCTAAAGAAGAGAACAAAAGGAAAATAAACAAGTCTGGAATGTTTTTCTGGTAACAGGAGTTATTTACATCAGTACATCAGTCACTATTTCTGATGACCATCATGGGGCTGGTGGGGTGGTGATCAGGGAGCATATCTAGAGTCGCTGATGAAATTCCAACAAAAGTAAAACAAATGGAATGCAATAGAGCAGCAAGTACAAAACATATATAGATTATCAATATAATTATATTATATATATTTTATATACATATGTAAACATGTAGATATTGGATTTATATGAAGGTGAGCCCTCATGGCATGAACTATCCCTTAAATTATCCATCTTTATAACCCTAGATTCTACCTAGCACATAGTAAAGATGTGCAACAAACATTCAACTAAATAAGGGATACAAGTTTATTGTTTTTTTTTTTCTTCCCATAAAACAAATCTTCTTAGATTAAGTTACTTCTCTACTAGAGATCTTCAAGGGCTTGCTGACATATGTAAATCCCTTGCTATATGGTAGGACTAAATAAACTTTAATTCAATTTGACCCCTCAAAGCATCTACAACATAGATCTGTCCATTTCCTGGTTTATCTCCTACTATTCCTTTCAGCAAGGGATGTTTTACCGTAATTACTTTATTTATTTAATCTTAAAAGGTCATGTGGGAATTTGTATTTTGTCTTTTGCTGAACTTTTTATGGAAAAATTTAAATATATACAAAAACACACACACACACATATATATTAGTATAATGAACTCTCGTGCATCACTTAGCTTCAACAATTCCTTGGGTAGAGAGAGGTGTTTTAAAGTTGTCGGAATGTCTTTAGATGGGATCTCTCTTCAAATATTTACCTGTCATTTCACTCAGGTTTCTTAACTCACGTGGTTCCTGAAATGAGTCCATGACCTCGATATACTCATGGTCATAATGGTCTTGTGTCCTTCCCACCAAAAAACCTTTTTCCCACCTCTGAGACTTTGTTCATGCCATTGTCTCTGCTTGGAATGTTCTTTGCTCCTTTCGCTGACAAATCTAATGCATCTTTGATGGCCAAATGTCACCTCCACTCTGCTCAGCACTCAAAGTGATAGCTCCCTCCTCTAAATTCTATATTACAATGATCTGCATATGTCTTTTGTCCCTTGACCGACTGTAAGCTCTTGGAAGACAGACTTCATGTTTGATTTATTTCTGTATCCTCATTAAGAGGGAGAAACATAGTTTCCGATTAACCAGTGTCCACTGAAAGAATGACCATAAAAATTAGGCTCCAAATGGTCAGCCATCATGGAATGCTCAGAGTGAGGTAGCTACTGTGACAGCAGTAACCAAAGTCTAATGAATACCATTCTAAAGGTCACAGGTTACATTCAAGATGGTACCAAGGCTTCAAAGAAAGAAGAGGTCAGGGTGAGTCCTGAGTCACCTCCCTGGCCTTTAGATGAATTAAAGCTGATTATTCTAACAACTCACTGAACATTCAACAATTTTTCTTACTCTCTGTTAGATACTGGAGACAGAAAAATAAATAACATAGACAGGGCCTCTGTTTTGGAGAAACTCCCAGTATACACCTGTGATTTGATGGAAAAACTCCACCATCTCTCATAACTAATACACATCTGACTGAACCAGTCCCAACGCTACACTCCAGGCTTGAGGACCCTGAAGCTGTCAATATTAGATACTTTATTTAGCTAATATTTTCGAGGAGGGGGTTGTCTAGCAGGTACCAGACATTGGACTAGGTTACACAGTGGTGAATAAGACATATACAGTATTTTTTATGAAAATCACTATCTATTAAATTGCTTGTTCTCACAGGATTAAGTGCTTTCTGACTTCACTGCCCTTGCATACACTGTTGTTCTTGTTTTTTGGCACCAGCTTATTTACCCTGTGTGTACCTGCACTAAGCAGTGAGCTCTTTGAGGATACAGATTTTTGTCATGCTCATCATCTCCCACACTTCAGAGAGATGCTGGAACACAGTAGGCATAAATAAATAGCCATTGAAAAGAGTACTTCTTAAGTCAATATAATTCAATCAAACTTGCACAGAAGTTTCTGGCAAACACGACAAACTCATCAACCAATAATGGGCCACAAACTGCTACTGTTTTTAAATTTTAAATACTACAAATCGGCACGAAAAGGGCAAGCACTCCGATATAAAACTGGGGACATGATATAAACATACAATTCACATAAGATAAAATATGAATGACCAATACCCCATATAAAAAAGTGCTCAGCCTCACCGATAACAAGGAAAGTACAAATACCTGTTCCTCTAAGACTGGAAAAAATAGAAAAGTCTACAATATGAAGGAGTAGCAATAATATGGGGAAATGGGCTCTCTCATAAACACTTCCAGCACATCTTAATTCTGACTAGCTACATTTCAAGAATAGCCACCTGTCCTGGTTTACTTAAACAGCGCAGCTCTAGCTCATGTGTACAAAAAGATACATGTAATGTTTCTTAATAGCAAAAAGCATAAAATTCTAATATCCACTAGTTGAGGAATGGATGAATGAAATGTTCTATATCATATGGAATACTATATAACAGTTAAAAGGAATAAACTAGATGTAAATATATGTAAACATGGATAGACTGCCTCCCCCCAAAAGAGTGAAAGAATAAGTTATTAAAAAAAAAACTATACATAGAAAAATAGCATTTAAGTTCTTTACAAAAGGAAACGAAACAATACTTGTACTGCGCACTGAATACACAGTAGTTTTTTTTTTTTTCAACAGACTGGGAGAATACACAGCTAATTATAGGACTTGCTTCTAGGGAGAATGAAAGGGTAATGAATCTGATAGTGAAGGGCACAGATAAATCCCACTTCTGTTTCATATTATCTTTCTTAAAAATTGAGTATGAAAATAGATTATGATGTCAATCGTCAATTGGGGGTGGTGAGTATACGGTGTTTATAATATTCTATGTACCCAGTTTCACATAATAAATGTAATTCCCATTTTAAATAAATGTAGATGGTCCCAAATGAAGTTGACGGTCAATCTAATAAAGTGAGCCCACAAGACATCCTAGCCCTATCTATGCTGTAGATTCAGCCGGGACCTCCGGGGGGGCGGGGTGAAGTGTAAGCAGGGACCACAGGCTTGCGAGGTGTAGGGTTCAGATGTACAATGTACAAAAAAAACCAGGGTGCTGGAAATGATATAGGAAACTGTAAGCTGGGGTGCAGCATAGTGAATAAGATGTACAGGACGGAAGTAAGGGTAGAATCTGGACACGCAGTCTGTGGGCACAGCAAAGAATTCGAAGATGTGTGAAGTGGATCCGGAGGCCTGAGAGCCTAAGAAGCAGTTTGGGGGCCGTGGAAGTTCCGCAAGACTCTTCAGCTCTCAGATTCCTGAGCCTAAGCCGCTACTTCCACCGCTTCTGGGAATGCGCTGTTCTGTTCACTTACTTTATGGCCACCCTTCCTCCCTTTTGTCCATTCCCCTCCCCATCGAAAACCCGAATGACCCTCACCCGGGATAATGGACCTCGAAGTGCCACCGCTGCCTTAGATCTTGGACCAAAAAAAAAAAAACGTCCTCCCGCCAATTTGGGCCTCTAACCTCCGCCTTCTGACCCGAAGCACCACTCTTCCGCGACCCGAAGCACCACTCTTCCGCCTCCCGAAGCCCGGGAACATGTCTGGCGCCTCAAGAAGCTGCTGTTTCCGGAAACTGACTCCCACCAAGGTAAGAAGACACGTGCTATAGACAGAAAAATACTTTCGGGTGGTTTACGTATATTTCACGCATTGCAAATCTCCCGGAGAGAGCGGACTTTAAACTTCCGGGTCAGTTTCTGTACATTCTGGGAAATGTAGTCCTTAGTCTCCACGCTTCACTCGAGTTGCCCATTGAGGGAGCGTCGCAAAATAGACAGTTTAGGGGCCCTTCTCTTTGGTTCTACACAGGGGAAAACTGGTGACATATCTGTACTGAAAATAATACAAGGTTAATTTCTCATTTCCCAATATCCCTCCTCCGCCGCCGAAGCTTAGAAGTACACGGAATCCACCCCTCCTTAACCTTTAAGTGGGTAGCAGGTAGACAGTCTCTTAGTTGCCTTCGGGTCTCTGCCTGTCTTGGTGCCCCGCCCCCTCTGCCGAAGCCTGTACAGTCGATTGGCTAGAAGCAGTTGAGCGGCGGAAGCAGCTGGCTCGCGCGGGGCCTGCGGGGAGGGGGAGAGCTGTGAAGATGGCGGCAGTGGTGGAGGTGGAGGTTGGAGCCGGTGCTGCCGGAGAACGGGAGCTGGATGAGGTGAGAAGAGTTGAGAGTTGAGGAGAAGAAAGACTCAACCTGAAACTTCAGGGAAGGGAGGGGAGGTATCGGGAGTAGGCGTCCTAGGAGAGACGAGATCCTTAAGAGGGAAGGAGCCAACTGTGGAGCGGGTGCGTGGAGAGGGAAATCTGAGGTACCCAGGACTCGGGGACTCGGAGGCAGTCATGGGGTGGAAGACTTGCAGCAATCTCAAGGGTGGAGGTGGAGGACAGAGAGAGAAGCCAGAGGGGTGGGGGTGTTAAGATTTAGGACTATTAGCTGAGGTCCTGGGGAAGACTAAAGGGCTGCCAGGTGGTTTGAGTTAGAGGGGCGTAGACTTCTGTGAGGGAAAGCCGGGTTTTCACTGAGGGAAAGGAAAGGACTGTCTGGGTTTGGAGTCGGGGGTGCGGGGGGACGCGGACTAGGGAAGAGTGTTTATCTACTAGTGTTACAGGTTTGAGTTATTTTTTATGTAAGAGCGCTTTACATTCTAGAACTTTGTACATAATGTGGGCTCGATAGAGTTTTGGTCAACGAATGATAGAACGAATGGGTGAATGAACAATTGTATAGAGAAATTTATCCATTCACTCACTTAAACGTTTAAGTATCACCTTTGAGCGAGCCTCAGGGGTAAATGCTAGGGACCTTCCCATAGAAGAACCCAACGTATGGTGGTGGGAGACGCACAAGAAGTCTTTTCATCGGAGGTATAATGGTGGTACTGAGAAGAGGGAACCAGTTCAGTTTGGGGTAGGGAAGGCTTCTCAGAGGAGTCGAGTCTTAACGAATCAGTGATTCTCCCTCTTTCTCCCTTTCCCTTTTTCCTATTAGACTTAACGAGTTTTTTGAGAGTGAACTGTTGAGGGTGTATCTCTTTTACCTACGTAACAGGCATTTAACAACGGGTGTATTCAGTGACCAGTGGTCCTTGAAGGAAATCACTAGGAGGAAGGAGACATTGAGTTTGAAGGGAATGAAGGGACAGCGCTGAGAAGCAGAGAGAGAAGGTGAGAAAGGAAAGGGAAAAGATTCCGAGGCCAAAGGTACATTCATGGCTAGGGGTGCCTGTGGTCTTGCCCATGACAGCATATGGACAGCAGGGAGGAATAGGAGAAAGGGGTTTGATTGTTGGGGATGGAACCAGTGGGATCTCTGAGGGGTCAGTTTCTTAGAGGCCTTGGCTGTGGGGGGGAGTGTTGGGTGGGCATTGGGGATGAGGCCTAGAGAAAGGGAGTAAAAGTGGACTTGAGAAGCAAAGCCTGTTGTTTGGTGGTGGGATGACTTGGAGGTTTTGGTTTACCTGATTGGGAACATTAAGCTGGGGAGAGGAGACTGAGAAACTGACAAGTGGTCAGAGCAGGGAGAGATGTTTAAAGAACCATTTTAGACCCATATCTTTCAGTCACTAAAGACTAGGAGTGTTTGGATACCACTTGGTTGGTGAAGTGGGGTAGTTGTGGAAATGACTTCCAAGCCCCCTTCAGCTTTAAGTTTCTGTGATCATGGTTGGCTGTAGTTCAGTGAGATATATTTGAAAGTGCCGTGTAAAAGTAAATAATGTGTTTAGGTTAGTTATACATGCTTTGTTAATCATGGCCTTTGAGCGGGGGGAGCTGATTTCAGTTACATATATCAGAGTTCATTGAGATAAAGAACAAAAGTTTTGGCAAAGGAGAAAAGAACTTAAAAGTTTTGAAGTTAGATATTTTTGATTTTTGCTTATCTCCCTTATTGTTTTAAAAATTTAAGCACTTATAGTATCATAATTATACTTCCAGAGTGGCATGCCTGGAAGTCAACTTTATATGAACCACTAGCATTCATCCCAGAAACTTCTGTTCCTTGTTTCATTTACTAAGAAATAATATAATCTGCTGTCTGGAAATTCTGTGCGGACTGGCTCTGTCCTTTTCCTTGTGTGTTTAAGAAAGTAACTCTGAGAAGCAGGAACGGTGTTCCCTTCAAGCTCAGATAAGGAGGGGGAGAGGCAGAGGTATGGTCTGGCTGACCTTAGTTTGTGAGTGAGTTTCTGCTAATGCTTCCCCACCTGTTTTTTAGCATCCTTAACTAGTGAAACAGAAGTTGAAATCCATCCTTTAATTTGTAATTATGAGAGTCTGCCTCTCTATTATGCACTGGGAATTCAAAGATGAGTAAGACATGATCTTTACCAATTTATAATGTAGAGAAAAGTCATGCAAATGGCCCACTGCAATACTAGATACTTATTTTAATGGAAGGGAGTACCAGATTCAGTGGGGCGCTAGAGACAAGCACTCAAATCTGCTGAGAGTCAGTGAAGTCTTTATGATGGAGAAGGGTTGGAGCTGAAAAATGAAAGGTTAGGTTTACAAAGAAGCATGTGGTATAGTTGCTCTCTTTTAACACTTTCTACTTGGTAGAGAGCCTGCTGTGAAGCTCAGATTATAAAAAAGAAATGGGTAACCTAGCTAAGATGCCACTTCTTTGGAAAGACTGCATGCTCTGATTTCTTTAGGATATCAGATCTATGTTTTCCGGTATCAGATGTCCTTAGCCTGAGTAGTTTGGAATAGCAGCCATCAGTTTATTCATATTCTTTTCCTTTCCTTTTTTCTTTTTCATTATTACTTTCTATAGTAGTTAAGGTAGTTTAGGTTTCACTTACTGCTTCTCCTGAAAAGAGGGCTTAGGAAAAGAGCTACTAGTAGAAAAGACCACTGTTTATTGAGCCCTTATCATAAACCAGCTCCTGTTTAAAGTTTGCATTATCTCATTTATTATTAACACTACCCCTGTGAATTAGTTGGTGTTTACTGCATTTTCTAAATGAGGAGACTGAGGCAAGAGAGGCTAAGTGGCATTCCCAGGATTCCAATAGTTCATGATGGGGAAGTGCAAATTCCAACCCGGGTCTGCCTCTGCTGTGCAGAGCTAAGTTTTACACCACCATGCTCTGCTGAGCACCTAAGTTCCATTCTCAAGTCAAGCTCATCTTACCGAAGTACACTACCCCTTTCTTAATGTACAAAGGACTCATCACAAAAATGTGAAGCAGCATTTCATTCCTGAGAGGTTCAGAGTGGGATTTAACTAAAAGAATATTGGTTTTTCTATACAGATCCTTTAGTTTACCAATAACTTGATTCTGCTGAGCCCCTCCCTGGTCATGGGGAGTGACCAGCCCAGTGGCAGTTAGGTAGATGAGCTGTGGGTCTAGCCAGCTCAGGCTAGGTATTGAACAGGTAGGCTGTGATGAATGGCTAAGTTCTTTCACTTGCTAAACACCATAGGGTGCTTGAGAGTGTTGGGGAGGATAAAGCATGGGTACCAGCTTGGAGGCCCAGAAGCTGACTTACTCCTGGAGCCTGTGACTTCCTTCTTGAAGGGGTAGTGTGCCAGCCATTAGAGGAATTGGAGGCACCATCTTGGCACAGAGACCTGGCTTGGGACCTAAGCTAAAAAAGCACTTCAACATCCTATTGGGGCCAGCCTGCCTGCCTGGATAGTTCCTGTGAATTCTGGATGTGTCTGCTCCCAGTAGTTGTTCATCTGCCAAAATGATGTGATATCATGCAGATCAGTGAGTAGCTTCCAGCTCAAGTTCAAAGCAGGCTACAGCTAACTTATTGTTGCCTTTAGTGCGTCATTTACCTCTTCTGGGCCCTGATATATTCTTGTTAAAAGAAAAGATTGGATTAGGTCAGGGGGTTTTAAACCTTAGTCATGAAACACTTTGTTTAAAAAATAAAAGAAAAATCTCACTTTGAAGACTCATAGTCCTTGAAGGTACTCAGAACACGTTGAGTGTCTCAAACCACACTTTAAAAACCAGGGAGCTTTCTCTTACTGCCCACTGATTGGGTGACTGACCCTGTTTTATGTTCCTTCAGCCTCCCTGTACTTCCTCTACCCCACCTCTACCAAGCATTATTTTAACTGCCTGTCTTCCCCACTAGATTGTTGGCTGCCCAAAAGCAGAGTCCAGGTCTATCTTGCTCATGGTCACAGTCCCTTTACTCGGTATGGGGCCTGGCATAAAGCAGGCACCTAACAGTGTTCGACAATTATTATTTTTGAATAGTGGTAATACACTCCTCTCCTTAGTAGTATGTGCTTTTTTTTTAATTGAATGTTCACAGCATCCCTGTGAGAATTGAACTGTTGGACTAGATCATGACTAAAGCTCTAACATCCTGTGCACCATGTTTCTGATTACTGCTAGGCCTTTGTTTGTGCTGTCCTGTCTGCCTGGAGTACCTTCCCTTTCTCCCTGTGTCTTTCCAAATCCTGTGTGTATTTAAGGTCCAAGCCCAAGGCGCTCTTGTCTTGTAGAACTAGTCTGATCTACACAAATACCTTCTTTCGTTTTTTTTCATGGTTTTTCTCTGTGTTCATTTATCAATTCATCAAATTTTTTGATTAATTGTTCCAGGTACTGTGCTATGGTTGATCATATCATGATGGATAATGTGTGATAACTGCCTTCAAGGAGGTCACAGACTAGCCTGGGTGGGAGTGATAAGTACAAATTTGTGTCACAGGTGTTGTGTCAGTGGAGTAGGTGCCATAGGTACATCAAGGAGGAAGTGGCAATCTGTATCATATCTTCTTTTCTCAGGCAGACTATAGATGTTCCCATCTCTTGCTTTTTCAAAGTAGTAATCTTGTACTGTTTGTTTTGTTTTTTGTTTTCCCTCCCATGGTTTCTCCCTGTAGACATTTGATAAATACTCCTTGTTTCTAGGGATTTTCTTCTCTAGGGATTCTTAGTTAAAGTCAAGAGCTTGTTGAAGGATTGAGGCACATGTGACTGAAGTTTAATCTTGGCTATCTGACCATGTATCTTCATTTTTTTTTTAAAGACTTATAAAATGAGTAGTAGCATAGTGTGCAAAAAAAAAAAAAACTAGTTATAAATGATAGACCTAGGTTTTAGACTAGGAAGAGCAGATTTTGTTTTATCTCAGAGACAGCCAAATGATAATAGATGTTTAGAAGACTGTGTTGAGAAGGAT